CCTGGACAGTTTCTTCAGAGACCGTGGTACTAATACTACTTGACTTTGGTGTCTGTCAACATAAGCAACATGAAATGAACAAGCTTCTTGTAGGCAAATTGCTAATCCCAGTTTGATGAACCTCTTCATTTTAACCCCCGAACAATTTGCTTAAGTGGTTTATAAATATAGGTACAATGGGACCATGTTGCAGGAGTTAGGGTTGCCGCAGCCACTCTAGATTTTCACTGCTTAGATCAAGCTTCCCTCACCTTCCCACACTGACATAGATGGTGAGGGTAAAGGGAGACCACAAAGGGGTATTAAGTGGTGTGTGTACCAGCGACCTTAAATTGAAACTGGGCAAATGCACAGGGGGTGCATCCGATTTCTCTCCCATGACTATCCACTAGGAAGTTCTGCCCTGCTTTATATCAGAACTTCTTTCAAAACTAATTAAGGTGGTGTGTGGCACTTACTAGGCAGAGACTTATGCTCTCTGGTAGTTCCTCTCTTCTTAAATAACCCAAAGTTCCCCGATGAAGAAGAATTTCTCAGGAAATCCGCAGGAAGAGACTCCTGATCATGCAGCATTCACTGAATCGCTCACTGGGAAAGCTGCCGTGAAATAGCATTGGAGAAGATGAAGTCTGAACTGTTGCTGCTGAAACTGGAGCATTCTCTGTTTTCTTTCCACAGGAGCTGCTTTGTGAATAGACCCAACCATGCCTCTTTGATCCAGTGGCTGCTCATTAGAAGTCCATAGGGAACTGGCAAAGCGGGGAGAGATCTAAGTCTTGAGCAAGTATGAATATGCTTGGCAGTCTGCAGTAGGGAGTAAGGAAAATTCAGAGCTAAGTGCCAATGAGGGAGTAACAAAGCCCCTTGCAGCTTACAAGTGAATGTGAGCAGGAAGATCAGAAGACTCAGAAGAGATGCATAGCACTGTAGGGAGAGGCTCAATGCCACAGCAGCACGCAATTAGGCTGCAACAGCGCTGCAAAATGAGTTTTTTCAGAGGTAGATAGCAGGTCAAAGGCATGCCCAGTGGTTAAGTAGAGCTTATCTGCCTGTGCTGTGCTTATCTGAGTTGCTGCAGTCCAGGGATTTTTCAAGATGCATGGCCAAATGGCATAGTCATGAACAGAGGTCTGGACATGCCCCTAACCATTAGCAGTCAGTCTGCATTGCCTACTTAGACCACAAATTTTATAACTGTTAAAGATAACAGTTACCAGTTATCATGGTGGGACCTGAGGCATCACTGTATTAAACATGAATTTGACAGAAAAATCATTCATAAACAGATATAGATGAAAGATTTCTGGATGGGTGTTCTGTTTGCTGAGAAAACACTGATAAAGGACAAGAAAACAAAAACTTTGAAAGTAAAGTCTGGCTCCTGTGGCTTCAGCAGTCCTTCTGAGGACAGGGAGTCTGACTTACAGGTCCTGGCAATTGGACATGCGGCCGTTGTCTCACAGTGTGATCCTGAGAAAGCTGATCTGGGAGGGAGAGCCAGCCTTATACCTCCTTCCCATTCCCTCTGCAGAATCGTGACCTCAGCCAGCAGGACATGTGGCTACATCTGCCCTTGGTCCGTGTGACTAGATGGTATCTTCCCAACCCATGGCCCAGCCACCAGGGCAACATCTGTATGGATACTAATTAGCAAGCCCACAGCCAGATGAAGAAATCAAGGTGGCCAAACACAGCTACCTGGCACATGGCCGTACAGGCAAATATCAAGGCCTGCCAGACAGATTTGTGTAAACACACATTAACTCATACATCACCACATGGCTATAAAGCTCTAGCTCTGGTTTTGCGTGCTGATACAGAACAATACAAGCTATAAACCAGGTAATTAACCTTGGCAGATAAGAGAGCTGTCATCAACATTTCAGAGCCCTTTTTAAAGGCAGGAAAGAACCCCGCATACAAGGGGAGATACTTAGGCACAGAGCAGGGATGTGACTTGCCTGGCATTAGTCAGGAGGCTCAGAACAACCACCTCCTGAGCTCACCACACTGCTTATGCCCCTGGGCAGAAAGGCCTAAAGGGCTGTAGGGAGCAGAGCTGGTCGTTCCCTCTTTCACGCTAAAAATTAGCCTCCACCCCCACTCCCTTCTGTGGTGAAAGGGCATTGCTGTACCGATAGCATCACCTTTCAGTTGGGCTACAGCAACAGAGGGACCAAGAATTTATACTCAAAATCCTTGGCTGCCTGTTGTGTGGCTGCAGTTAAATCCCAGTTCCAGTGAGCAATTTTATTCTGTTGAACAAAACTTCTACATCTTTTCTTCTAAGTCTTTGAATACTTTTTCCAGTTTCCTGTCTTTAACTGCCACATAACATAGCTATGCATAAATAGATGCTAATTGTTATTATTGCTGTTTCACAGATGAAAAGTCTGAAGGAAAGGGCAATACAGACACTAAACAGACTCGTCTCAGAATTAGTTTTAGGGCACAAATATCAGTTCTGTTTTCTGCCCTCTATGGTGACACATATCTACACAATCATGAGAGCCACTCATCATGCAGTCAACACGTTCTGTGCACTATAAGGCTGTACCTTATAGCTCTATATGGTAGGGTCTGGTGCTTTCTAATGTGATGGGTTTTGTTTTAACAGGAACTAGAGCAAGGAAAAAAAAAAAGCACCAAGGCTATAAAGTTAAGCAAGCATTCAGATGATGGGAAATGAGAATAGAAACTTTCATTGCTTTCAGTTCAAGCAGGTTCTGTCTCAACAGATTTCAAGCAGTCGTTCCTCCAAGAGGTCAGAAGTATTCCAGGATACGCTGTGCTACTTCTCACCCAGCTCCAAAACCCAGTGATTGCCAAATTACTCTCTTTACCAGAAAGGATGGAGACATCTGTCATAAGGCAGCCACATGTATTTCTCATGTTACTGACTGAGGCATGTTGAGTGGCTAGGACTTTTGCTTACTGTCTTAACACCAGCTATTTCTTTAAGAATTTCAGCTCCCATTTTCTGTATCTTGATGCTAGAGACCATCCAGGGCCTTCTGCTTCGGGGCCTGAAGTGCACCTCCTCTGGTTTTGCATTTGTAATACTTTACAGAGGGGCGATAAACACAGGCATATGTGAAGAGTAACAGCAACAAAAAATCCTGCTTGCCTATAAAGGGTTTATTTAAACCGACCCAAATCCTGAGTAAATTCTGCTTCTGGGAGCAGAAGTGTCAGAACTAGCCATTTAGGCTTTTGGTTTATTATCTGGACAGGATATGGGGCAGTGAATGAGCACACAGAATCCACCAAGAAAGCTCTTGCAGGAAAACTTAACCCTAAATTCCACTTCTGTAAAGATGTTCACTGAAGGCGCAATTTAAAGCAAAATTTAAAATATGCTAGTAGTCTTTTATTAAGATCTCTTATTTGACTTGTGTTTGGAAGGTTGGACGAGGAAGGGGCAGTGAGGGGTCCACTGATACGTAGCAGCAGAATCAGGGAAGAATGGCTTTGAGCTTATGGCTTGGACATGAGACAGAAATTTTACATATCAAAATATGTAGTAAGCGATGACCTTATTTCACTGCTGCAGGTAAAGGGGATTTTTTAGCTTTCACTAATAATCACACAAATTTCTCCTGGGTTTCCTTCATCGTTTTTAAAGTTCCCATTTTCTGTTGTAGCAATTTGATTCTTTGACTCTAAAATAGTAGTGTGGCTAACATTGATTTGATCACTGTACTGCTTGAAACTTCATTCTCTGTTTGTACCAACACAATTCCTTCCTGTTTATTTTTATTTGCTGACATTTACAGAAAGGACTCAGTCATTTTCTTTTTCTATAATTAGCAAGGATGAAACCGATAGAGAACTGGTTTTCCTAACAGCCTAAGCAGGTCCCTTGTAAATAAATTGCTGGTTCTCAGATTCACTGGGGATTTTCTTACAAAATCATACAGTATTTTTTCTACATAATCTCATCTCACTCGGGATCCGTGACGGGCCTGTTTGGGGATGAATGGACACTTGTGGCAAAAGAGGTTATTGGCATAGGACTCTTGCCCCATATGATGAAGAAAGGCGAGAGTTGTGTAATGAATGAGGATGGGGACTCCGCAAGAGAAATGAAAGTTTCACTGTTAAAGCAGTTGAAATCTATTGTCAAGAATCATATTCTCACCTCGTGTTTGCCGGAAACACCCATGGAAAGCACAGAAACAGTTTTTATGGAAGGTCACTTCCATTTTGTGCTTTTCATGTCTTTTTCTGGCACTGGGTCAAGATCCTGAATTCAGATTTACACAAATGCTGAATACTCACACCTTAATTGAAACACACTTTAAACATCTAATCTGGAGGGTGAGGAAAAAGGCAGCTTCCCCCCCAAAAAAATTCAGATCTTCGGGAATCGAAAATCAGTTATCCCAAATTAGCAGATAATTGGGATAAATTTGTGCTTCTCTGCGATTCAGTTCTCTCTGAAGAAAAATAACAGCTCTGTTATAATTCAGTGTGTTTCTGTGAACATGAAAATGAATAAGCACCAAAGATGTCTATGAGAAAATCAATACTTTTTTAAAATGGGTTTTGGATGGTGCACGTTAAATAAGGAAAAGGGACACCCACTTCCTGAATACTGCAAATTTTTGTTTGCAGAACACCGATAAGCCATTTTTATCCCTTTGCAGATCATGTAGGGTTATTTGTGCTTGTTGTTAAAATGATGCACATTTGCATGCTAGCCAGGTCTGTCCTTCCAATTCCTGCTCAGCGCCTATTCAGTGAACCAAAATGCAGGCACTCCTAATTTCTCACATAGTTTAGACCAAACTCATGATAAACCTGCTGCATCTCCACCTCCTGATCCCATCCCTTTCAACAGCAAAGGGCTTACAAAAATATTAAGGGCAGATTCAGGAGGTTTGGCTACGGGGTCTGGCCTGGCAGGCTGTGCTGACCCCAGTTCCCTTTCTGTAAGCACTACCACCGATCTGAAGCAGGAAAAAAAGAAAAAAAAAAAAAAAAATAGCTGTGCCCACCTCAGCCAGAGCAGCAGAGAAGTGATTACAGTTCTTGTGCATCAGGTGGTACGCGTTGCCTTTGTACTCCTTGCCCAGCTCTTCCATAATCTTATCCACGTCCTCTTCTGTGAAGTCTGTAGTGCCCAAGGCAATGGATTCTCTAGTTAAAAACAACACACACAACAGGAAACATGGAAGGATACAGTGAAGACAGTGTTACGTACCCAGGGAAAAGGAAATGATCAGACATTGGCAAGAAGGACAGGCTTAAAACATGGACATGTATGTCTGGGGCTATCAGAGACTCTCACTAACAAAATGGCACAGTAATATCCCCAGCTTATCCATAAAGGTTATATCCAGGTTACAGCACAGGCAACAGCCCCGAGAGCTTCCTGCTCACCACCAGGGAAGTCTCAGCTTTGGGGGTCTGCTCCCACTCTGCCCATCGCCCCTCAATAGAAACTTCCAGTAGGACAGAGGAGATGATTTTCTCATGATGGAGAAGGTTTCCGTGGGGTGGACCAGGAAGGAGCAGACCAAGAACTTCATGCAGAAACCTATTGCTTCTCCCAATATTCACTCAATAGTGCTCATGGTTCTAAAAGTCTCCAACAACCCTCAACATAAACTGGCAGTCTGGGAAGGTCAAGCCCCACTTGCCACAGGCAGTTCCTTGACCCACAGCCCCACAGTCTGAGCACCTTGAACAACACGTTAATGCAACATCCGCTCAGACTGCCCTAGCAGCTGGCCTGTCCCTTGTGACGGAGTAGCAATAAACACACGAGATGATGACTTCTGGTACTCTGTGCAGTATCCAGAAATAGGTGATACTCATAAAAAGACTAGGTTTTGTTTTTTCCCCTGTGCACTGGCTCTGTGTAACACACAGTTACTCCCATTCTTGCTGACAGGTGAAACTAGGAGCACAGAAAACAAAGAAAATGGGAAAAGAGAACTGCATTCATTTGTAAGTATGCTTTTAAACCCTGCCAAACACAGTTCAGCACTGTTCCCTGTTTGGTGTACACGATCTTTTATCCACCTCCAAAATCCCTGCAGGGCTGCCTTTGAACCAGGATCATGTACAGGATGCAGTGAGGGCGCTTATGAGGAGAGGGAAAGGGTGACCCAGAGGAAAGGACTTCCCTGCTCCCCCTATACCAATGGCTACCGGGGGTAGAGGGGAAGAGGTAGAAAAGGGCCCTTACTTGAATTTAAAGGTCTCGCCAAGTTCTACCGCACTGCCAGGTGTGATCTCGAAAATCCCACTGAAAGGGTAGGGATGCCCTCCATAGGCAAACTCTGACAAGGAAAGAAACAGATTGTGAGTAATTGAATGAACGCGATGTCAGAAAAAAGTCTATGGCAGCTGTCTGCACAGCTCAGCATCAGCACCAGGGGCCAAGCTATTGCCAACATCGGTTTCAGCCAGACTCTGAAAGCCATTTTCTCTGTCTGGTTACCTATCAGCCCAAGGATACCCTCACAGCCTCCCTCCATGCTAGCACTACTGCTTTCCCACAGCGCCAGGAAAACTCTCCGAGTCTGTCTCTGTGCCCATCCAGGTGGCTTCCTCTCAGTGGAAAGTTCTGTGGTGGAGACATCTAGAAACACTACAGGAGACTGTCGCTGGTGGTACTGAGCTGGAAGAAGTCTTTTCTGGAGTAGGGAGAAATCAGGTCTTCTTCCAGAGGGATTTACAGGCAGCGACCGGGAATTCTTTGCAGAAAGCCAAGCTGATTGTGCTCTGCTGCCTCAGCATGCGAGTTGAGCCAGGAGGTCCCTCCATGTCATACAGGCCATCTTGCATGGCCTGTGAAACACAGCCTGTAGACCTCATGGTGTCAGGCATGCCATCCCACACAGCCTGTGAAAACTTCTGTGCTCGAGATGGAACATGGTACCCCAGGGGGTTTAATCTACTGCATGGCACTGGCTAAAAATACCATGAGTGAGCTATCCCAAGTCATTCCCATTTAACGCTGAAGAAGGAAACGGAAAGTCTGTGATGCTAGTCTGTCCTTCACTGTACTACAACTGTTTTCCCAGATCCCCTGACTGCTCCTTTTGCAACGGGTGCTCTAATCAGCTTCAATCCCACCCAGACCATTTCAAGAGTCTTACAAGACATTTTCTTTTCCTTGTAACTCTGCTGTTTCAAAAGAACAGTTTCCAAGATCTGGAAATCCAGATTCCAAGATTTCTAGACCATAGACGTTCATAAAGAATTACTGCAAAATGGATTTACTCTGACACAGAATTAGCACAGACATGCATATGCAGCTGCAAGACAACTGCTGATCCACCTCTCTCTTCCCCCTTCCCCACGTCTTCCCTTCTCTCTCCCCCTCCTTCACTGCAGAACATATTTCCAACATCGCTTGGTCCCTCCTATCAGCCATCCTGCTACATACCTGCACAAGCTATAGAGGCTGCAGTTACATGCTGAAAATAAGAAGGGCTACATGGTTCATGACAGAACTGCACGAGTTCCTGCTGGACTCCACAATGGACTCTAAAAAGAGAACCGGCTGAGTTTTTCACTCCTCAAAACATTCCTTGCCAAAAGCTAAAAGTTTGAGGTGCTTTTCCATATCAGACTAGCCATACAGTTGTCCCCATGTTCTGCAGGTAGTGAAAAGGAAATACTTCATACCTCTGCCGTAGATCTCGATGCCAGAGTGGAAGACACCAATCCCCAAGGTGGAGGTGTATTCATTTATCCAGTACTACAGTAAAAGAAAAGCCACATTTGGAAGCATTAGCGGAAAAGAAACACACTATCTTGGTCTAGGATACCTCCCCCATCTCCTGTCCTCAGAGCAGCTTCTCTTAAGGACAAGAGTGATTTTGAAATTATCTTGAGACAAACAAATTGAGACTCCTTACAGACCAACAGAAGTGGGCACTGTGTTTGTACAGCTGACTGGGATTAGGTCTCCAAAAAATGCTCATCTAGTACTTTCCACGTAAGGCATTTCCCCGTATTCCCTGATATAACTGGACCTGAACTTGCATAAATCCAGCTGCTACAGGACATGTGATTATTTGTCTGTCTTCTCGCTTAAATAGCTGACACTGAGACAGTTTTACCAATTCACTTGTCTTATCTGATCTTCAAAATCTTGAGTTAAAGAATCCCCAAATATTTTCTGCACACCATTTTACATCACCTCCCAACATCTACTTTTTATTAAGTTGTTTTTAGGCAATGAGATCTTGGAGACAGAGATCCATTCCTCCCATAGGTCAGAGGAGCACCATTTAGTAGTTATCTATATGACACTGGTAACTGCTTTACAGAAAAAAAGAAGCTCCGGGCATACTAGTCAACGTTTTGCTTAGAGGCACCATATATTATCAAGCGTCATTTCCAGAAGGGACAAGGGCTTGCTGCTCCAAAATTAGGTCCAAGGTGACCACAACTTCACCCAAGTCAAAGGCAAGTTTTCAAGAGGAGCTGTTAAGTGACTTCATTGCTCTGGAGTCCAGCACTTCCCCGGTACATTTAGATCAGAGGAATACTGCAGTCCAGTGCATGCAAACGATGCTCCTCCACCAAGCGCTGCTCACTGTTTCCACCATACCATGAAGGACAGTGCAGACACCCTAACAAGTCCCAACTAAGCTAATTCTGGAGTAGGAAACCGTACAGCCATGCCAGGGCAGTGCTGCATTGAAGATAATTAGCCCTGCTCAGCACCAGTATTTATTAGGTTAGCTGCAGAGCTGTGCTGCTACAGAAATGATGTTTTCAGGCAATGAGTGGAAACTGCCCATGCCTGGTATATTTACAGTTCACTTACAGCTACTGTGCAGTGAAGATGCATCTGTAGTAACTCAGAGCAACTGAATTCTTATTTTAATCAAGCACTGCAAGAAAAGTGAGTGTTGTTCATTTGTCCCCATACAATGACATGACAGATTCATTCAGCTAAAATTCTTTTGGGTCTGGTAGCTGCTTCTGGTGGAGCCAGAATAAGCTGCACCTTCCCTGGTGTCTAGTGTCACTGAGCTGCCACAGTATGAGTGAGAACCCCTCTGCTGTCAGGTAACCAGAGGTCTGGCATGCTCCATCTACTTTCCTCACACTGCTTGCTTATGTATTTTTGATGACTGCAGTAGCTCTGTAGATCACCTAGAAATGCTTTCTATGCTTTCTACTGTGGAAAAACACAGTAGCTTTGATGTGAAAAGTGCAGTCCCGAGCCTGACTTAATGTATGGCCAGTCTTGATACCTTAAACCATGTCCCCCAAAATGCTTGCCTCTGGCAGTACAGCAGTCCCCTTTCCCTCCAGAAAATGCTGTAATGCTTCTTGTTCTTGGTGAGTTTTGGTATCACAAATGACGTATTACTGCAGGAAGGCAGCAAACCACCTGACCCCAGCTGGACTCTGCCCACTACTCTCTTCAGACCTTGTATAACCTCCACTTACCTCTTCACTTGAATTATGCAAACTCTTGTTTTTAGGATACATCAGAGCACTGGACTGGAGGTAGGTCAGGTAGCTCTCAACTTCTGCCAGCGCATTAGCAGTGAACCCCCTGTTGAACACCATGCCTGGTATTTAGGGACATGATGTGACCTTGCCTTCTGCTGCCCTTCTCCACAGATCTCTGTTGCCCTGTCCTCTGCAGCAGGAATATCCCTGCTCTGACTGGGGAAGAAGATACAGAGGTGGAGGCTGCATACAGGAGCCCATATGACACCAGCCACATCTGCTGAGGAGACCAAGGCCTGTCTCCCATGGACACATAGTTCAGTTCTTTGATCTCCCAAATCTCATGGGTTAAATCCTCAGACTCTCAGGTAGTCTCAGTAAGCTTCAGAGAACCACTGCTTTCTACAGAGTCCCACTGTAACAACTCCCAGAGGATATGGTAAGTAGGTTGTCTTCTTTCCTCAGGCTGAGCTATTGTCTCACAGCAACAATATAAGCACAACATGCCCAGGTCAAGCCAGCTGCTTTGCTTAGAGGAGTAACTAATAGAAAGAGAAGGGAGACATTTTAAATTAGAAATGCTCTTGCCAGTTATCAAAGTCAGGGCTATCTGCAGAGGCTGGTCTGCATCAAGCTTTGTATTTCAAACAAGAAAGTTAAACGGAAAGCCACTTTCAGCTATAGCTTTTTCCTTCTCCATGTTAAAGTTTATGTTGGATCCAAACAACAAATAAGCAAACAAGCAGGGAAAACCAAACCTCTCCTTGATTACCATGTTAGAATAATGCACGGAGACCTGTTCACCTCATATGTGCACAGCACTGTTAGAACACAAGTCCTCCCTGTCCCCCATCTGCCTGCACCGCTCGTGTTTCCAGCACAGAGCCACAGCGCCCAAAACCCACCCTGCCCAACAGAAGGAGCCAAAAGCCGGTCTGCAGGACAGCTCTGGAAACACAAATGATGAGGAGGCCCCACCAGAGATAAAGGAGAGATGAGCAAAAGTATTTCTCTGGCTGATACCAGGTGTTACGACCATCACATGGACATTTCTGTATTTAAATGGTGTATTTTTCACTATGAATCCCTTTAATGAACTATTATGGACTGAACTGCAACAACCTCAACCATACCTGAATTTGAACTGAACAGAAGCTGTACTGGTTTAGTACTTTCCTTCAAATAACTTCAAAACACAAGGGCATTATTGAAGTGGGATCTGATTTGCATCTTCGTTCACTGCAAATAAAATTTTTCAGTATTATCTATAAGCAAGACCAAAATGCAAAGCAGCTCTGAATCATGGCTGCTACTGTCCTCATCTCACCCCTGTCTCCAGGGTGCTGCAGAATCTGCCTCCGGTGTGCGAATGAACACGCAGTGAATGCCTCACGGCACTTCGGCACGGCCCACAGCTTGTCTCGGGAGGAAGCTATGCTAAAGTGAACTTGTCAGTCACTTGCTGAGCTAGAAGAGAGAATCCAAGCCAGATTTGAAACCAGGTTTGTACACACATGCATGAGCTGGCCTCGTTTTCCAAGAGGTTTGCAATTCTGAGCATAAGAACAGCAGCAACAGTCAGCAAATACTCATCTCTGGAGTAAATTGGCTATTGCTTAGATTAAAAACAAATATCTGCAGCCTGTTCTGAGTCAGATGGAAGAGCCAGCAGTATCTTAAAGGGAGCTGTGATTCATGCCAGCATCGCATGCTGCCTGCAAAATTGTGCCGTAAACCCTACACAAAGGGACTTGGAGCATTCTGTCTCATTTCCATCTTCAACAGAGAACAGCTCAGAAGTGAAGAGAGGCAGGGAGGAAAGCTAACCAGACTGCAGCTGCTTCACAAAAGCAGCAGATAGCCCAGGACTCAAAATTCAAACCCAGAGAGGAACCTCTTTGCATTTAGAGTTTGTAGTGTACCCATTAAGAGCTTTTAATGCAGGTCCCTGACTAAGTAGAATTTGAAATTTTCCAGTTTTTATTCAAGCCTTCCCTGATTTCCTGGTTGGTTTGGTTCAGAGATCAAAGTTTCTGCTGAGATGGTTTAGACTTTGGGAGATACTCTGCGTCAGTTGTTGTTATTCACTTCATTTATCCATCTTTCACACAGAAGTAGAAGTGAAAGTCTCACCGGGACAGTGAACCATGCCCTAACTTTCCAGAAAGGAAAGAAACTAAAAAGCTTCATTATATTGATATGCTTCTGGTAGGTCTAGGATGGAGAAGCAGATGGTGTCATCTATAGTAATAATACATAGATTATTACTATTACATAGTAATAATACTAGCAGATTATGTCATCCTGGGACTTTTCAGAGCAGGAGTTCCTGGGAACTCCTACCAGAAACATGGGTTTCCAGACAGGAGAGGCCCATCCATGTAACCACTAACTTCTGCCATCAATTAATATCATACTATAACATTGAAGTTTCTATCACTAACTTTCTCTTTACCTCCCTACTTCAGACCATTATTTTCTATGGTGTATCACCAAAATCCTTCCTGCATAACTGTGCTGAGCACCTTAACTAACCAGCTCCCTATAGGCTGGAGACAAGACCACCTCTGTGGCTAATCTCAGATATTACTCTCTTTGAGCAGCCAACACACTAAGCAATATTCCATTTATCACCCTAGTACAGACTGGATATTCCACTCCACCACATCCATCCACTGCTGAACAGACACTAACCCATCCTTTCTTATGATCAGTATAAACACATGGAAAAGAAATCCACTGGGACTTGCTAAACAAATCTGGTTTCAGCAAATAGTTGCAAACTCTGAGTATTCAAAGGAAGTGTTCTAGATCCTTGCTATGCTCTTCTACCCTTCACTAGTATCACACTACCATCACACACAATCATCGTCTGAGCCAGAATACCAGGCTAGACTGGGGTTTTGTTCTGACCTAGCCTAATTGCTCTGATGTTTGTGCATGACCACACACACTACTTTGAAAAAGACACCTTTACCAAGGATGGGTGCAGATGATGAACCAGTAACTAACTTAACCATACCTCCTCTCAAAGCACCATCTGCATATAATTCAGTAGGAATACTTCCTTTTCCCTGGCAAAGCTTTGTTTCTAGAAGCAAGAGAATAACAGTAAAGGAGGACCAGAGCTACAGATGATATTCTGACACTGCAGGTGAGCAAGGACCGTGTTAAGGGACTGAAGGTAATGGCCAAACCACCTCACCCTCTGCTAGTCTTCAGATCATGGAGCACTTCTGGCAACACAGGTCGAATAACAGACTGTCTGCCCTACCACCTAGGTTT